GTGCACATGTGTATTATAGAACAAGTGTAACTTTAAAATACTCTTGAGGCAGTTAAGAATGGAGGATACACTGCAGGTAAAAAATTAGAAATTTAACCACACATGTGGCTTTCACCATGAGAGTTCAAAGGTCACATCAGAGTATTTAGTAGATAGGTATTTAGATGAATGGAAATCTGATCCCACTTAGAAGCTTAAAGTGTTCATTGATAGGGTGTACAGGGATTTGGAGTTTCATATTGGATACTATAGGGCAAGGGCAAAGTTAATTCTGTATGGAGATTCCGCTGAGGAGTATGCAAGAGTGTTTGATTATGGGTTTGCTGTGCTGAAATACAACCTAGGATCTTCAGCAATTGTTGTAATTGAAGGGATTGAAAGGCCTCCGCCCATTTTTCAGAAGATGTATGTTTGTTTTGAAGCCTGTAAAGTTCGATTCAAAAGAGGGTGCAGGCCTGTTATTAGAGTAGATGGGTGTCATTTGAAGGGTGCTTTCCTTAGGATGATACTTGTTGTTGCGAGTAAGGATGGCAACAACAATATCTACCCAGTAACTTAGGAAGTGGTGGAGGTGGAGAACAAGGACACATGGATTTGGTTTTTGGAGCTGCTAATGAAGGACATTGAGAAACCAAAGGGAAAAGGGCTGACATTGATATCATACAGACAAAAAGTACAAAGCTGATTCCTTTTTTATATTTACAACTACTTGTGTTGCTTAATAACACTCTCACATGTTAACCACTTCATATTGTCTAATGTAGGGATTGTTGGAAGCTTTTGCTGTTGTGACTCTAGATGCTGAAATTAGGTTCTGTGTAAGGCACGTTTAGGCTAATTTTAAGCTCAAATTTGATGGTGAGGCTTTTAAAGAGAACTTTTGGAAGTCAGCAAGGTCAACTACAAGGGTATGTGTCTTACATTATCATTTATTTAGTAATATCTCTCACCTTTGCATAGTCATCTAAATTAAATCATTGCATTCATTGTTAGGCTGATTTTGAGCTGCATATGGCAAAGATCAAAGAATTGTCTCAAGATGCATTCCAGTATTTAGATTCTATTCCTCCTAGGCATTGGGTTAAATATGCATTCTCCACATATAGCAAGTCTGATATGCTGTTAAACAACATATGTGAAAGCTTTAATACTGTGTTGAGAGATGCAAGAAACCAATAATTACATGCCTAGAATGGATTAGGAGGTATGTGATGAAGAGAAACACTGAGAAATGGGATGATGTGCAAAGTCATGAAGGCAAATTTATGCCTTACGTTGCCAAGGTCTTCCAATTTGTCACAATTGGCTAGCAACTATGATGTAATTCCTTATAGGCTGGACATTTGGGAAGTGGACTACTATAATGACATATATGTAGTCAATTTGGGGAGAGAACATGTAGCTACCTCAGATGGGAGCTTACTGGGATCCCTTGTGCACATGCTTGGGCTTGCATTATTAAGAAAAGACTCAGGCCAGAGGACTTTGTTGATGATTTCTATAGTAAGGACAGATACTTAGAGGCATACACACCATGTATCAGTCCTATGCTTGGCATGAAACAATGGAAGAAAAGGCTTAATATGATGCAACCCATACCACCTGTAATGAGGAAAATGCCAGGCAGACCCTTCCACAAGAAAAGGAAGCAGGAAATTGGTGAGAGGGAAGAAGCTGTGGAGTGCCAAAGAGCTAAGAAACTGCCAAAGTGCTCAAACTATGGACAGCCAGGGCATTATCAGAACAAGTTCAAGAATCCACCTCCAGCCAAAGAGATTGACTTAGGTGGCAAACCCCCATCAATGAACCCTTGAATGTATTACAAATGCAAAAGAATTGGGAAAGAGTTGTGAAAAAGGTATGTGGGGACTCAAGCTGGGTTGTATCTTTTAAGGTTAATAAACCATGCTCTAAATGTGTTATAAATTGTTTTAATTTTCTTTCTCAGGGTAAGATTAACTATCAAACTGGCACATCCACATCACAAACTGATCCATCTCAGCAAAGCTCACAGGGTGTAGCTTCTGGTCCACCACAACCTACTCAACCAACCCCAACACCCTAGCCCCTGCCTTAGACAATGACACAGGGAAGTCCAAGGCAGCACAATCAAAAGCAAAGCTTCCAATTAAGTCAAAAAATGAAGAATCGGCATGTGTGGAAGCCATAGATTATGATGTGATTAGGTTATTTTCTGTATTTTGTGTTAAGAACAATCCTTATACATTTTGTGGGGCTACATGTACTTCAACCTAATATTACATTGTTGTAGCCTATATTTTATTAAGTGTTGATGAACAAATCCACTTTGGCCTTGTAATTATTTTGGATGATGAAATGCAAGGCTTTTTTAGTATGAATGTGCTCAAAATTTATGCCTTAAATTGCATTGTAAAGTTAGTAATCAAAACACCATTCCATTTCATTGTCATGACAATATTACAACCTAAAATTGATAAAGGTCAACAATTGCACTTTGTTTACATACCAAAATCTATGACATATGCCGCCACTAATACATTGCAAATGTAATACCCATCACTAACTAATTGCCTACTACATCAATGTCCTTCCCAAATACACTAACACCAATCCATTAATAACAATTATCACCACCAGAATCACCTGCCTGATATGCCATCCCTATCACCTGCCTTTGCCTTCTTCATAGCAGCAGAAAGTGTCTTGCATTTCTTGTTAAGTCTTTTTTTTTCAATCTCCACCCTTGCCTTTTGGTCTTGAAGCAGGCAAACTTGTTGTTTCAGTAAAACAATCTCATTTTTCATCAGCTTTTTGTCCAACACAAGTTGATTAGTAACAACCCTCTGCCACTCAAGTATTTCTTCATCAATCCATTTGAAAAAATTGCATCCTCTTCTACCAGATGCAGCATCATAGAATTTACAAGCCAAAAATCTTCTCCCAGGGTTTTTTTTGTAGTCTACGACGTCTCCAATTTTGGTGGAATGCCACAATCGCACTTGTTTGGATGATATTGCGTAGCGGAGTAGTATGAAGAATTGGACATCCTACCAATTACAATGTCAATTAGTAATTAAAATGCTTCAAAATTCAATCTCAAATACAAAATAACTGATTCCCATAACTCAATTGAACCCCCAAACCCTAGAAATCAAAACCCCCAAATTTGATTGAACACATAAACCCTTATCTGAATCAGTAATTTAAACCCTAATTCTTTTAATTGCATTCAATTAAACCTTGTAAACAAATGCGAAAAATAATGAATTAGAAGGAAAGTGTGAAAGGTTACCTAAATTTGTGTTCAATTGCTTGATTTCTTCAATCAGATTTTTTGAGTGACAATGGAGGGAAAAAAAAATTATAGAGGAGAGAGGAGGAGAGAAGGTAGTTGGGGGGGGGAGAGTTAATTGGGTGGGAAAAGTTAAAAAGTGGACCCCAATAACGTGTAAATTGGACGAAAAACGTTTATGGGTGGTGCTACCCAAACGTTTTCAAACTTGCGGGTAGTTCTAAACAAATAAAAAAATGGGTAGTTGTTCACAAATAACCCTATCTTGCGGGTAGTTCTAGACAAAATTTCCATAAAATTACATACACACCATTTAGAAACATATAATACCATAAACATCATTATAAAAATTAACTAACTAATGACTAATGAGAGTATTTTGGAATTGATGACACTTTGATTGTACAAGTATTAGGATAAGTGGATAACACATAGTTGGTATTAGTATTGGGGATGACAGGTGGGTATAATTTTGCAAATTTCGTACCACATAAGTCTCTATTCGAGCGAGTATGAGTATGGCTTTTGGTGAGTAGTGAATTAGTATGGATATCAAAAGTCATACTCGTTATGAGTAGTAAGGAGGTAATGGGTATAAAAATGTTAGATGGATATGGATATCAGGGAGGGGAACAGGGGGTATCCACACCGCCCATTTTCCATCTCTAAGTTTTTTTCCCCTATTGATTTAAAGTCTTTTTTAAAAAAAAAAATAGGATTTAAAGTCTTATTTAATCAAATGCTCAAATTATCTTGAGTGTGCAAATTGTTAAAAGTTGTCAAAGCATTACCCTAACACCCATCCTCCATCAACAACCATCACAATTTCCGGTTTTCCCGTCTAATAACAACTTCCATCATGAGTTTCCTTCGGTGTCAGTGCCAGTTCCAGGTTTCTTCAATGATTATGTCCTGCGCTCTTGGTCCATCTAGAATATTTCAGTTCATTTGGCTTCTCTTAGTCCACAACGTGGATGTGATACAGTCCTCTTGGTTGTCCAGGCTCCGCAGCTATTGGTATGCTGCAAGACTTTTTAGGTATTTTGTTCTCTTCGTTCTTCCTGTAATGGTTAGTAGCAAGCCCTATTTCAGGGTTTGTTTAGGTGTGCTGCTTAGCTTTTTTAGGTTGTAATTCTGCCTTTATTTATATAGTTCTCTTTGTCAAAAAAAAAAAAAACAACCATCGCAATTCACAACCACACTCCTTTCTTTTTTACCCAAATAAAAGAATACAAAAGCAAAACTTTCATAGCCAATTGCTCAATCCTCATCGATTTTTTTTTTTAAATTTAAATTTTTGGTGAAAGAGAGAGACAAGCCCCGAAAGCACAAACTAACCACTAACAAAACAAATGAAAAGAAACAAACTCTTACTATAGCCTAAAAGGCTTTATGCCTTTATTCATCCTAAGAAACTACTTGGCACCATTCTCAACCATGTTGTTCTGGAGAAAATACAAGTTTAATGTTTATCTAGTGGCATTTTTATAAATAAATCAACAATTTTTTATTAAATGTGGATCCACTAATGTTGATTTATTTACAGAAATGTCATGTTCATAAAGATTTTAGGTTGATTTATTTATAAAAATGTCATGTTGATAGAGATTTTAAGTTGATTTATTATTAAGATAATAACACGAGTACATCCTCGTCAATTCTCATCACACTCTTTATAACTAATTAAGTAATTATATAAATCAAAGTAAGATGCAGCCAACCGTGGAGTACCACGAGATCCTCGTGAACAAGCTTCTACTTTTATAGGCACAAGGAACACAAGAAGTAGAAAGAATAACTATCAATTTACCTCTTCAAGATTATCAATTCAATCCCAAAAAAGGTAGTTGACTTGGATAAAACTCCATAGATTGAGAAACCAAGATCATCATAATCAATGGAGGTAATAGTGATGCCATTTCACAGCCAAGGTCATATGAACACCATGTTACAATTCGCCAAACGTTTAGCGTACAAAGGCAATGATAGCATTCAAATCACACTTGCCACCGCCCTTTCCACCACCCAAAAGATGTCCAACTCTAACAACGACTTCAACTTCATTCGTTTAGAAACCATTTACGATGACTCCAACGAAACCGGACTCAACTTCCAAGCCCGAATGAACAAGTTCAAGATCGAAGCATCAGTCCAACTCGACCGCCTTATTACTGCGACTCTCAGCAGATCATCTGGTACCAAATGTTTGCTGATTTACGACGCTAATATGGAGTGGGCATTGGATGTGGCCAAGAAATGTAATGTACTGACTGCAGCTTTTGTTACTCAGGGCTGCGCTTATGTAGCGTCTTTTTACCCTTTGTTTCTGCAGGAGTATCCTCATGTTGCTGCTGCCGATGTATTTGTTGATCCTCCTTTGTCGGTACCGATTCTGTCAGAGGAGGAGCTGCTGAAAGGCCTGCCTGGCCTGCAATATTTGTCTTCCACTTCCTCGAATTCCGATTATTCAGGTGCTGATTTTGGTAAAAAGCCGATTCATCTTCTCATTCGAATGGTGCTTGTGTCTATGGAGAATCTTCATCTTGCTGATTGGGTTCTCTTCAATTCCTTTGATCAACTTGAGGATGAGGTTACTTCTTTTCCCCCTTTTTGTTGGATTTTAATTTGTTCTTATTGCTTTAATTACGAGTTTGAAGATAGTGTTCGTGTGAATTAGTATTGTGACAATTTAATCTGGATTGTGGGGTGTAATAATATGACAACTCTATCTTGTAATTTGAATTAGTAATGTGACAAGTAAATCCGGACCAAGGGGAGTAATAATGGGTAGTGAAACAATCACTTCATTAGGAGATCAGCCACTTTAGGCTCTATCAAGTAATAGCAGCAAAGATTCACACTTAATATTATTGTGGATAAACATCAGAAGAGGTTTGAGAGTCATTAGGCCCTTAGCATTCCCTCAAAAGCCAAAACTCAGGGAGATCCACATCTATGTCATTTGTCAAGATTGCATTGCCTTGCAGTGCTCAATCTCATGACAGACTCATAGTGATTGGTAAGGGGAATTCGGTTCGCTCAGCTGATGAGCCAATTGGGCCTCTGGTGGAGTCCTGCATCTTCTGGTACAAGGTTTTAATAGCTGAGAGTTTTTATATTTTTTTTTGTTATGGATAGGAGAAGTCCCTTGCAAGTAGGAATTATATGGTTATGATATGATGTTTTGGCTATTGTTGCTTTAGATGGGTTTAGTTGCGTAATACTCCGAGACTGTCAGGAAAACAAAGTTATAAACATTGAACATATTTCCTCCAAGACTGTCAGGGTAACAAACTTTGCTCATTCCCAGTCAATGTTAGAAAAGGTTCATGGCACACTTGGGCAATAGCTTGCTGATAAGGGTCCTAGAGTTTAGGTACTCATTAAAGTGAGTCACAGCTTGTACAAAAAAAAAAAAAAAAAACCTCTGCACAAAAACAGATTGCAGAGACAAGAAATTATTGTAGCCAATGTGCCTTTTTGTGCACCTCAGTGTTTGTCAGATTTTTCTAGGGTCTTGGGCAGCACATTAGGCTTCATTGCCACTGCCCTCTTTTCAAACATTGTTCCCACATGCTTCTGTGAATCCGTGGCATGTATTTAACGTAACTGTGAGATCTAAGCTGCATGAGAAAAATGGAAAATGAGGCCTAAAAAACTAAGCTTTTTTTTACCTTTGCAAACAAAATAAGAACATTCAACCAAAAGGAAAGGACATGTATGAGAGTCTCTATTTCGAATATGTTAATCAAACTACCATGTATTATCTAATTTGGCATCCCCCATAGAGTACAGAATTTGCACCTTGCATGGTGCATATATGCCAATGCTAAATTTACCTTGTAGTTAACAGTAATGATTGTCAATGTGTGCGTGATATGAATGCTCACCAATGTTTAATCTGAGAGACTATTAGTAGGCAGGTTCTGCCTATTATGTTCGAGATTTGTTTTGTTTTCATATCAGTACTTTACACTAGTAGACAATCTATGTATTCATGTATGAAACAGCCAAGGTCCAAAAATTGGCATCAGTATAACATGTGAACCAAATAATCAATCCTTCACCTCCACCATCTGTATTAGAGACCCAAGTTGCATTTAGTAATTTTGTGCTAGAAATCGATTTGTAGACAGAATATCTTAGGAAAGAAACGAAGAAAACTGGGAATTGGGACAGGAATGCAGAATATAGGAGGGAAGCTTGGGTGTGTATTGATTGATAGTAAACCTTCTTTCGAGAGGAAGGCACTCTCCCCCAAGCCTAAGCTCGCAATACAATTTTCTGGATGATTCAGTTGTATTCCCAGCCCCCCAATTTATACAGGAGTTCCTTCTACAACCTTCCAGCTTACATTCATTCCCCCCTCCATAACAAACTTAATTCCCTAACAGATGAACTAGCAAAGCTCAAAATAAAATAACAGAATCAGCAAACAACTCATAAACGGTTATTTAAATTCAGTGCATGGGACAGCTCATGTGACAGCTCAGCAAATCTTGCAACAACCTCAACCTTGCTTCTTGCGTCTAGAATAGGTAGCCACAATAGGAGGCCTAGGCCGATTCCTTGCAGTACCCGCCGTAACCAGTTTCACCTTGTCCTCAAGGTGGAAGTCTGGGAACCTGCTGGTCAGGTCTGAAAGCTGCTCCCAGGTAGCTTCAAACTCAGGTAAATTCTTCCATTTGACCAAGACTTCCGAATCAGGTTGCTGCTCAGTGCCTATGTGCCTGATCCCCAGAATGGAGTCAGGTTCTACCTCCAATACCATATCAGCAGTGAGTTGAGGTGGGAGAGGAGTAGGAACAAAGGACTGCCCCTGCGCTTTCTTAAGCTGGGAGATATGAAAGACCGGATGAATACGGGTTCCATCTGGCAGATTGAGCTTATAGGCTACCTGTCCAAAGCGCTGAATCACCTCATAAGGGCCATAATATCGTGGAGCCAGTTTCATGTTCCCTTTGTTTCTTACTGAGCTCTGCCTATAGGGCTGCAGTTTAAGATACACCCAGTCACCAACTTCAAACTGCCCCTCTCTCTTCTTCTTGTTCTCATAAGCCTGCATATAGTTCTGTGCGCGTAAAAGATGAAATTTCAGATCATCCAGTGTTGCATCCCTTTCAACAAGCTGCTCCTCCACAGTAGGATTTGAGGTTGTACCCATTTGGTACCTGACCAAATGCGGGGGGTCTCTCCCATAGAGAACCTTGAATGGGGTGTGGAGAGTAGCGGTATGGAAAGAAGTATTGTACCAGTATTCAGCCCATGGTACCCATTTGGACCATGATTTCGGCTTCTCATTCACAAAACACCTCAAATATGCTTCCAGACCTTTGTTAAGCACCTCGGTCTGCCCATCGGACTGTGGGTGATATGCAGTGCTTCTGCCAGTTGGGTGCCTTGGAGTTTGAAGAGTTCGTTCCAAAAATTGCTTATAAAGACTTTATCTCGATCAGAGACAACAGATTTAGGGATACCATGTAGTCGAACCACCTCTCTCACAAAGGCTTGCGCTACCCCGGGAGTCGTAAAAGGGTGTTTTAGCAATACAAAGTGGGCATACTTAGAGAGCCTGTCCACCACAACCAGCACAGTATCCCACCCGTGAGAGACTGGTAGCCCCTCCACAAAGTCCATAGAAATATCCTCCCAAACTTTATCAGGGATTGGAAGGGGCTGCAACAGTCCCAAGGGGCTGACTGTTGCTGCCTTGTGCTGTTGACAGATTGTGCAGCCTCGAACATATTTCAGAATATCCTTTCTCATGCCCACCCAATACCACTCAGCAGCAAGTCGTTGGTATGTTTTGAATTCCCCAGCATGGCCACCCACTGGAGAGTCATGATATTCTTTTAAGAGGGCAGAGGGGAGGGCTGATTTCTTTGGTATGACAATGCGCCCCTTGTACAGCAAGATGTTGTTTTCCAGTGTAAACCATTTAAGGGGCTGTTTCCCTTGTTTGAGTTCTTCTGTCAGCCTCTAGATAAAGGGATCTTGTTGTATGATTTGCCGGATTTGTTCCCACTGAAAACCACAGACCGATACTAAGGACGAGCACTCAATGTCAGGAGGAAATTCCCGGGATAGAGCATCTGCTACTTTGTTACTGGAGCCTGGTTTATACTAAATCTCAAAGGAGTATCCCAGCAATTTTCCCACCCATTTCTGATAAGCCTGCCGTACCTCTCATTGCTCAAGGAAGAACTTCAGACTTTTTTGATCGGTGCGGACAATAAACGTTCTGCCCAACACATAATGCTGCCATTTTTCAACTGCCCATTCAATGGCTATGAGTTCCTTCTCATAAATTGGTTTCCCAGCTGCCTTGGTACCCAACATTCGGCTGAAAAAGCAACCGGGTGTTCCTTCTGAGTTAACACTGCTCCCACCCCATGACCACAAGCGTCAGTCTCTACAATAAAGGTCTCACTGAAATTGGGCATGGCCAAAACCGGAGCCTGAGTCATGGCCGTTTTCAGACTTTGGAAAGTTGTTGTTGCCTCTCGTGACCACCCAAACTGGTCTTTCTTTAATTGAGCTGTGAGAGGTTGGGCAATGTGGGCGTAATTTCGGATGAATTTCCGGTAATACCCTGTGAGACAAGAACCCTCTAAGCTCTCTCAAATTTCGAGGTTGAGGCCATAACAACATTGCCTGGATTTTCTCTTGATCCACTTCAACCCCTTTGCCTGAGATGACATGGCCAAGATAAGCTATGCGTGTTTGCCCAAATTCACATTTCTTGTGATTGGCATATAGGTGGTTCTTCCGTAAGACTCCCAGTACTACTGAAAGGTGATGTTGGTGATCTTCCACCGTCTTACTATATACCAACACGTCATCAAAAAAGACCAACACGAACTTCCAGAGGTAAGGTCTGAATACCTCATTCATGAGCGACTGAAAGGTGGCGGGAACGTTGGTGAGGCCAAATGGCATCACCAAAAATTCATAGTGCCCATCATGAGTGCGGAAGGCGGTTTTGGGTACATCCTCCCTTCGAACCCTAATCTGATGATACCCCGATTTAAGGTCCAGCTTAGAGAAAATCTGGGCTCCTTGTAATTCATCCAGTAGTTCATCTATTACCGGAATAGAGAATTTGTCCGGAATAGTACTCTTGTTGAGGGCCCGATAGTCGACGCAGATTCTCCACGATCCGTCTTTCTTCTTAACCAGAAGCACCGGGCTAGAATACGGGCTGGTAAAGGGTTGGATTATTCCCGCCTTGATCATATCATAGACTAGCCGCTCTATTTCGGTCTTCTGACTTTGGGGTAACGGAAAGGGCGTACACTTATGGGATCAGTCCCCTCCTTCAATGTAATCGAGTGCTCAGTGCTCCTTTGAGGAGGTAGCCCCTCAGGCATGTTGAATACCTCCTGGAACTCGGCTAATACATTCTGGAGTCCTGGTGCAATGACTGGAGTTGCCATATTTTCACCCTTTTATGAGGATAAAACGTTGAACTCAACCAAAAATCCGGTTCCTTCCTTTCGAAGTGTCCGGAACATAGCCTTAAGAGAAATGCAGGAACGGTCCAAGGAGGCATCTCCCTTAAGAATGACCTCCTGATTTCCCAGATTGAAC